GTGTGTTTGTCTGTGCGTGTGTATGTGTTGTGTGTCTCACCGGAAATTCATAGCTCGGGCACCAGTGGTCGTCAGGAGTTGGTTTCAAGATATGATATAGGGGGTGGGACGGGAACATATTTGGTGGGGAAAGAAAGTGATAACAACTGATAAGGGCTGATAAGAGGCGCGCAAAAGTCGTCGATTCCGTTTTGTACTCGCGTTGACACCAGAGCGTCCATACTTACAAGTGTTATGTGGGGTGGGACGGGGACATTGTTGGTGGTGTGATAGGAATGATAAAGATTGATAAGGTGGGTTAGAACGCAAAAAACGTCAACTCCATTACATAACCCGCATTAACACTAGAGCGCCCACAGTCGCAAGTGTTGTGTGTGCAGGAACAGGACCATCGTGGGTGGCGTAGAAAGGGCTATGACCCTGGGAGGGAGAAAATAGGGACGAGGAACACATTGTTCGCACTTTATTGAAGGCGAATTTCGGGCTCAGACCCACTTAATGAGCCTTTACGGTGGCTAGAAGCGCTATGCAGAGGTCGCGTCACTTCCCTACTTCGAAAAGCGTTATTTAGACGCTAGGCGCTAAGAACTTTGACACGCTCCACCTGTTGCGACACGCTCCGCCCACCGCTCGATATCTTGTCTGCGTCGCTAACTTGATCTGCTATGCTCTCTCTACTCGGACTTCTCTAGCGCTCTCCGCGCTCACATTATCTCTCATCTCCCTGCCGGCCTTTTGAACTTCTCCGCAGCGTAGAGCAAAAGGCTCGTATTTCCTGTGTATTTCACGATTTTTTTCTTTTTTCTCACTGGCGGTCCACTTCCTACCCCTACTTTCACATTTGAGTGGAATTACCTCATAATTCAATCCTGAATCTTGCCTTTAAAGCCACGAGTCAGGATTAGGTGACCATAGAAGGCCTTTCCATCACTAATATTTCCAGGAATGCGCTCAGAGGGGTGATGCCACACTCCTGACTCGAGATTGCGCGCCGTCAAGGCCTCTGGCCTACTACTTACAGCGATGGGTTCGTTTCATCAGCTGGTCCCGCCCACCGCGGGATGTGGTGCGTGGCTGGCCTAACGTGTGAGATCAGCTAGGTTGATTGCCGTATCAACCGATGGAACGGCTGGCATATCCGGAAAACTCGTTTGGACGTGGCTCTCCCCCGAGCAAGCCTCCTTCACTGCTAGAAGGGAAGGGGTTTCGATTTCGGTCTTGTCGACGGTTTCTTTGCGTTTTTTCTTCACTGTCGTTCCACCTCCCATCTCTACACTCAATTTCAGGCGCCATAATGCCCAAACACGAGCCTGACTTTTGCCTTTAAGCAAGGCCTCCAACTAAGCGCCGGAAGCATGTACTAATGCCACGTGACATTGCTTGACATAAGACATATAGAAAAAGCACCATCAGTGGAAGTCCATGATATGTATAATACATACAAGAGACTCAGTGGAATGCAATTATTACGGAAATTTTATTAATTAGTATTATTAAGTGACTGTGAGCATAAGCATGTGGAATAAACACATGCACAAAGATATACATGTTCGTTGGTAATATACCTCCAAATTCTCCTGCAGTACTCTATTTCGCCCCCGAGTGGCTCTTTGGTGGTGAATTTCTTCAAATCTGTAGAACAAGTCTAGGAAACAGGTATCGTCGGAATCACTGTTCGAAAATGCTACATCTCGCCAATTCCTCTGATACTTTTACCTTTCTTTCCAAGTTATCCCTTCGCAACGCCAGGACATGTTTTGGATCCTAAAGGATAGGGGTACCAGGAGAGATAGCCAAGGAGGCACTTGATCAGTGCAAGACGAAGGCTGATGAGCTAGGTAGAAATTTGAAGAATTGAACCCATCAGGAGAAGCTGAAGTGGCTAAATGTGAGTACATAATAGCACAACAAGGGTTCAGTAGAACAAATAGTTGCATACAAATTGCTCTCCTGTCAGCACAGACACCTGTTGGTGAACTCTCATTAGGGTGTAAAATTTATCCAGGGGTCCTATAGTGTCATATTAATAAAGAGATGGTGAGAGATCGTGACCTATAAACGTACTGCCGATGGCTAGAAGAAACGTTCTTCTGATAGGCGATAGAACACTTAAACATTTATTTATTTCGCCGTTTTTCTATGAGAGCATGAAATTCTGATATAAATTCTCTTCTTCCTACCCTACACATCTTTCAAACCACGCATTTTATTTCGCTTTGAGTCTGAATCTTATATTCTACTTCGGTTCTGTGAAGTATGGGCACAATGGCTTTTTTGCACTCCATTTCCTGCACAGAAATGGAGTCCTACTGTAAAAAATGTCAAGATATGGTACCACAAAACTGTAATATTTTTGTGTTTCATTTGTTCGGTCGCTTCTTGTCAATTTATAAAATTTCTGTGCTATTAGTTTTCCAATTGGATTTCTCCTAAATCGACTTACATAGACGTGTGCGTAAGAACCGTGGACTCTATGCCTTGGCACGTAATTAGTATTGCTGTCGCACCTCAGTTGGAGGCACTCTTAATGAAGTGCGAAGAATGTGTCCCTCGTTCCTATTTTCACTGACCCGATAGGACGCTTGAGAGCGCAAAATTCGTCGTTGAGCATCGCGTTCTTACCTAAAAAGCCTATGTGATTTGGTACGTTCACATTGTATCGACGTAATAATGATATTCCTTCCAGATAACGTCGAAATGGTCCACTATCCCTTGAAGACTGCAGTGAGCTCGAACCGTGCTTATGCTACCTAGAACTCTCCTGACGTCGTGGGGGCAGAATGCTGTTATAAAGCTTTCTGATAGATTAAAATGTGCTCTTTAATTCTAATCTGGGAGCATTCGGTTTGAACTGATCATGGTGTGATCAATGCAAAATTGAATGTAGAGTGAAGTGCTCTTTTTGTTATACATACGAACGATAATAGAGGGAACTGTTAACATTGGCATGACATTGGAATGAAACCTCGAAGTTTGTACAAGAAAGTCCTTCGTCTTATTGTAAAACTAATGCTTGGAATGCATGAATATCAACAGATTTTTTCAGATGCTCCATTTGAAAGTGTGTTTTGGAGGATTTCGGAATTTTGATTTTCGAGAGGTGTAACTCGAAAAGGGTTCAACATAGATACTAGATAGGTAGAATATAGAACAACATTCTGTCGTTTGAGCAGCATAGCAGCTTTTGCGAGGCCGACTCTGAGCACCTCACAAGGAAAGGCAACTCAAACAAGGTATGAATAACATAGGGAGAAATACGGCGTGCATGACACACGGATGCGCTGGCATAGAACAGGGCCACCAATATTTTTGCAGTTTCCTGACGAACACTGCCCAATCCGACGTACCCCCTCCATTCACCAACAACACCTAACCTGCCTTCCTCCGCCAACCTCTCCGTTCTTTCGGCGGTCTCCGGGTTCCATCTACTGCGGTGCACGCTCCACCAACCTCTAGGTGTTGGCTTCCCTTTAGTAGTGGGACTCTATTTTTTCCTGGTGTCCGGGTTTCCTGAAACTTAATTATAAGTTCGGGGCAAATCACGCTCATTTCGGTGCACGCCCCACTCATCTATGGCCGTGAGCGTTGTACTTCATGATCCGTACCCCACCCATCCCACAGTTGACCCAGAGTCTGACGGTGATTTCCAGGTAGTACCAAATTTCGAGGCAGACCAACAGACACACATACATACTTAGCGCATTATATTCGGTAGGTATAGTATGGATATGAAGGGGGAGCCAAAAAGGAGTCACTTCGCCCCTAGCATCATCAAAGTTTTCGTCGCGCAGAATGCCGATGTTGATGAGTATTCCTTAGGTGTCCCTCCAAAGCAGAAGCAGGCCTCCTTCACTGCCCCACCGTCTTCAGAATATGACGTGCCGTCACCGTCGAGCTCAACGAGGCTTACCGTAATCGCTCCGGCCTGAAGCTGCTACATAATTTCTTCAATCGATTAACTGGTGAATAGCTTCTCAGAGACACTAGCTGTGACTGTGCAAGACCGCTTTTGACCAGCGTTTCAGGGACGTCGTAATGGTCTATGGTACCTCGACGACCTCGTTGAGCTCGTACCGTGAACCATGTTTCCGTGGGAAAATCTTCTGATGTCGTCGGTGTAGAAGGCTGTTGTGTAACTTTTTGATAGATAGAATGTGCTCTTTAATATGCAATTGAGCTCATTTGGTTTGGTTTGGCAGTGTGTACTTAAATTCGTTTTGAATGTGAAGGGAAGTGACTCTTTTTTTGCCTCCCCCTGTCAACTGGGGATAGTTGTTGTTTCAAACTAAAAATTCAGTTTGTCTTCAAAGATTCCGTAATATTTATACTTAAGCAAAATAAATGAGCAGCGAGTTACTGATATTTCAGACAATATCACATCCAAGAAGAAAAGACAAAAGCTCATCAAATAAACCCAACACGTGCAAGGCAGATGGACAATATTCACGGGCTATGAATGTGTGGCACATTTCGGAAAATCAGCACCAAATATAACAACTTTGTCATAAAGATTAAACCCGATGCGAGTTAACATTCCCAACGAAAGCACTAGTAACAGTTGAAAATATCTTGTGCAGTTATTAGAAATACTAGTAACAATAAGAGATAACTGCTTTTTTTTAACTCAACGTATTAGAATTATTTGCCAAAACTGTACAGTGAAGAAAGTGATATGATATTAAATTAATCATATACAAATAGCACTGGATGCTGCTGTTGATGCCCAGAAAGAGCACTGGCTACGCAACAAGATATGGGGCAGAAGAGAAGATCCCTACTGTGGAGGCCAGGATGAACATCGTGAAGACATATAGGCAAAGTCTGTCCACAACCATAGCCGCAAACTTCCAGTTATTCGATGCTTGCTCCTCTCGGTCTGTCTCCATCATGCGTTTTGTTACTACCTTAAAAATAGTTAACACGTGTTTTCAAATTGCGAATTTTCTCCGACGGAATAAAGTAACCTGCGAACAGGACTGTGAAACCAACCAAAGCTGTTTCTAATAGCTAACCAGGACACTATAAGTGAATGTGAAATGAAGTCGGCAACCTTCTTGGTTGGAAATTAGGAATAGTACGGTGCGTCTCAAGTGAAAAATTTCTAATTGACCCAGGTTGTCAAGCAATCATTGTTAGGCGGCAACTCGGGAGTTTGACTTTCCTCTTCCGGGTGGAGATTTGCGAAAAAAGTGACATGGTGTGAAATGGTGTGACGCTGCTCTTCGCTATTTTACGTAATTAAGATGAGAAGCACCTTGCACACTGACGTCTGGTGGCCACGTCTGGCCATGCGATTTAGGAGAAATCAGGACGGATTGCTAAATGTCGCCATGGCATGAACAAATTTACTTAAGTAGGAAGCGGAACTTTCTGCGACAAACTACTTACTTTGTAAAAAATAACACGTAATACAGCTTTGAGTGGCGAAATTTCAACTGAAAGTTACGAAATCCCACTACATCCACTTAACTTAACTTTGCGCAGTACATATTTATTTCGAATTGGTCTGCGGTCATGAAAAAGTGAGGACTCACATGAGCCACTTCTGCCTTTGTGGGCGCCTTTCGACAAAATTGGAATTTTTCAAAAAGCATAGCGTAAAGTCACTTGCACATTTTAAAAAAGCGGACTTATGAAAGAGCTTTAAAATATTGTCACATCGTGCGTCAGTGTTATGGAGAAAAATTTCAAAGGGGTCATTCTTTAAAATGTTCATTTTTCCTTGTGTGCGAGAAGAACGAATTCTCGAAGCGAAAGAGGCCCTGGAACCTCATCTCCGAAGCCACAACTGACGCGATGGAAGGAGCCGGAAGGGTATCGAACAAATTATTATAACTTCGCGAGTTAGACTATGTATAATATTCGGGAGAGATCCAGTGCGGAACTCGTTCACGTCTGCGCTTTCCAAGCATTTACACGGGTTTGGTCCGCACCCCCAAACCTGGTGAAGATTGAAGGAACTGGAAGCGATAAATTTCATTGGAGCGTATGGGAAACTAGATAGTGGGTTGGGACACTAGATAGTGGACGAGACAAAAGGTGACGCTTCAGGAGCAGTGGCACCTTATCAGCGGCGTGATTGGACGGCGAAACGAACATTCAAAACTCTCTCTACCAAGGTCCTAGACAAGCGGTTGAAGCGGTCGGCTGAATGGTTGATGTGTAATAGTTATCGTTATCGCTCGATGTACATTTCCTCGTGCTGTTTGTTTGAATGTTCTTACTTTCATGAGCTTGGACTCGTCCGGACGACCTCCATCTCAGATCTTTTCTCGACTCCATGACGTGTGGAGCTCTCCCCCACCTGAGAGCGCTTCATCCAAAGCCAAGAATACAAACTATTTATAGCCTTCCTTTTTATATGGATTATTATCACAAGCAACTCTCATGTTCAATCTCATTGCAGTTCTCATGATGCAAGGGAGTATCCACACATTTGTAGTGAGGATGGAGCCAGGTTTTTTCCGTGGGCAATTGCCACTGTTGCGAAAAAAACTTATTCCTGCTCTGCCCTTTGCGTGTGTCTGTCAGTAACCCTCTGCGGTACACTGCAGCAGTTCCTCCTGTATGTCACAAATTTCATCGCTTGGAATTAATATTTCAGGCGATGGCTAGTTTCGTCTTCAAGTTTTCCACTCGTCTTCTTATGTTGCAACATAATGCAATGCTTCTGTTTATGCATCTTTCCAAATAGCGCCCACATAGCGTACCAAAAATATTTTGGCTTTTGCTGAACCTTAGCTCTGCTTGCTGTCTCTGCAACAAGAGCGTCGCTTCGGTGGGCTGAGGTCCGAGTTCGAGGTTCTCCCCTGAGTCGTATTTTTTTATCAAGAGAGTTGTTGTCGATCAGCGAGAACATACAGCAAATGAGACCTATCCGTGCTGTAAGCCTAACATGACGGGACTTTCGACCCTTAGTAAGCTTAAAATCTCAAGTTGCACCGTTTTTGAAACCTGTAGTCTCAGTTATCATCAAGAGGATATAAGTTCTCGGGTTGTAGGGGTAGGTTTTGTTGTTTTCCCACAAGCATACAACCTTGATCATGGCAGACCTGGATTGCTTCAACGCCTTCAATACCGACTTTCTTCCTAAACTAGGGTTTTCTCCCAGGACATAACTCTCTGACCAAAGGTGATAATGTCGTCCTGAAATGGATGATGAACGACTACCGCAACGCAAGTGTTGCGACTGGCCTTCTTCACTTTCGCTCAGTGGAAGTTCATAAATCGAAGAGGGGAGAACATAGTTCCTTCCTTCCGTTAATTTTACTTCGAAGAAAGCAACAGGACGGTTCGGCTAATACGCCCTCCATTGTACGTGAACGTATATTTGGAAATTGCGAAGTAAGCTTCTGGCGTGAGATTCAAAAAAGTGATGCGAACTTATAAAACAATCTAACATCAATTCCGCTCAACAATGATCAACGTCACTATTTCCTATGGATTCAAGTTGACGAAAAAGACGAGAATGTTTATAACTCACTTTTAATTCGTGATAAATTCGTTGCAAAATGAGAAGGGTTGCTTGCTGTCCGAGATCGAGAGGAGCAGAAATCTGAAACAATGATTTAGCTGCTGATCGGTCTGAAAGTAGAGATGAAAGCAGGAGAAATCACCGGAATGGGCTGAATCTGAAGAAGCTGATCGCTATATCAGTTGCGCTGAAAGGGGAGCGTTGCAACTGGGGCGACGAGTAAGGATCGCGCAGACTTTGCGGCAAAACTGGCATGATCCCTGCGGGTACGAACCTAACCGTTTCCCTCGCGGTATCCTTCCTACTGTCGGGTAGATCGCAGAAATTGCCGTCAAGGTGTAGGACAGTGGCCACTATATTTTCTTATCTGGCATCTATGAATATTCCAGCTAGTGCACCAAATGGCCTGAGAGTTAGCATCAGAATTCATAAGAAGGAAACGAGTTGCTTGGACAATGTAAGAAAATTGAAGGATAGGCTGAATTCTTGAATTTAAGATGATATTTGTCACCGATACCGTAACTTACACTTTAAAAGCATGTGGTTTTGACCCACTCCGACAAGAGAAGCATGCAGCCGAAGTTCGACCCGTGTGATCAAAAAACTGGGGAAAGAACAACGTAACGAGTATTCCGCATTTACATTTGCAAACGGAGACCGAGAATTTGCAAGTCGGCGAAAAAGCGAGTTATGAGCACCGCCAGTCTGTCAAGAAGTCGGGGATTAAATGTGCTGCGAATGGACGTAGTGCGATTTTGCGATGGACTTTAAACGACAGCTATTAGCGACTGGATCCCTTCGGACGTTAAAACAACACTGGCGCGATGCTCATCCTGCTAGTGGAAAAAAAGCTGTGTACTGGGAAAAATTTCTAGGTGGCGCAAGGAGTAGGAGTGCCCACTGGAGTGCATCAGGAACGTATGTAGAAGTTGTGTGGTTTCCGCTTGAGGGATTGGAGGAACAGCCAGGTGACAAGTGATAGAGATGAATGCGCTCCAGCAATTTTCTTAAATTCATGATTCGTGGTCTTCGAAGCTTCAGTAAAAGTGACTCTCACTAGTGTATTCATCACATCAATGAAGATTCGTCAAAAGCAGTGAAATTTTGAATGTATGAACCATACAAGCCGCATTATTAGCGTATTCAATCATGGGGAGAGCAAGTATGTAAGCATAATTGTAAGCACTTAAATAACCTGTGATTGTGGCACCGACAGCGGGGGAGAAATTCCATTCATTAAACCTGATGAGGACATATACTGGTGGAGACGTCGCTCAATCTCGAGAGAGTTGGATCTGAAAGCGTAGATCTGAGAATGGATTGAAATAAGCCAAAGCAAAAAAAGTGCAAAAAACATGGTGAATTGACGCAACTCTTTCGCTGAAATTGCTAACAAAGAGTAGAAGAACGAAACAAACAACGCAATAAAAGTGAGAATCTCAAGACAAGTTTACCTGGAGGTGCTGGATTCGTTTTCCTTGATATTTCTAATCAGCGATTCGGAATGACTCTTGAGTTTAGAGTTGAAAATAGAAGGTAGAGTTGCGTAAGTGAGTTTGACGCCTGGCCGTTTCATACGCAGTAGCCAGGGGAGCCAGTACAGCAGCACCGAGCGCATCTGTAACTATCCATAGACTTTCATGATCTACACTGCTCCGCATGACACATACCTACAAAATTCCAAAAACTCACAATTGAACGAGCTTTCGAAAAAAGCCTCTAAGTGTAAATGTCAGGCGCAAACTCAGATCCGAAAGTCAACACTGAGCTTCAGTTTTATAAAGCAAGATTTTTTTAACGTCATTTTTTGAAAAAGTCAACGCATTCCGCAAATCGTATCGGGTTTTCCCATAATTCCTGTCCGACTTTTGTATAAATTCAATTTTCTTCTGGCCTGATCAGTTTCATTACGAAATTTGCTAGTATTAGGTTGTCTCATAAGTAGTGTCGCTTTTTTTTCAAACAAAAAATTTTCATCTAAATCCTTATGCTTTTACATCATGTCATATACCATTCGAAAGAGAATTGTCTGCTCTACAAGATGCTATGTTCTTCTTCCACCTTTGTTCCAGGGTTTTCAAATTTTAGGCCTGCGAAATGGGAGGTCCAGCCGACAAAAATTGACCAAACCGACAACTAGCTCTAACTTTATCTTCCCTTGGGAGAAATCAATCAATGATGTACCCTCTACTTACTCATGACCTCTTCTAAACATTCCACTCTTAGGTTGCCGAAAAAGGTTTGCCGTGTTTCTTTTCGAATTGGCCGATAGCCATGGCAATTTTCAAATTGAAATTCTTCCTCTGAAACGCTATTGTTTTATATCAACTGGTGTATCTTTTGTGAGCACTTCTTCTGCTCTATTCGCTCATTTGTTTTTATGTTTTAGGAATTAGTTCGAATTTTAGGTGTTTGGAGTAAGGTGCTTTGTCCACGAAAGTGACCGCATTTCTTTGAAAAAATTATCCCTGAGAAGATGAGAAAATCAACCAGGCGTACATTCCTAACTTAGTCATGACTTGTTCTTGAAATTCTACTAGTTTTTCAATGTCTCGGCTGTAAAAAAATTTCGACCTAGATCTCAGGTAATGGTGCTCGACCGTCGAGTTCTGGTTGAAAAACCAGGTCTGGAAATGGAACGACGCGACTTGTTGGGAAACCTAATAGTGTAATGTTTAGAAGAGGTCATGATAAGTAGAGGGTACATCATTGATTGATTTCTCCCAGGGAAGATAAAGTTAGAGCTAGTTGTCGGTTTGGTCAATTTTTGTCGGCTGGACCTCCCATTTCGCAGGCCTAAAATTTGAAAACCCTGGAACAGGTGGAAGAAAACATAGCATCTTGTAGAGCAGACAATTCTCTTTCGAATGGTATATGAAATGGTGTAAAAGCATGAGGATTTAGAAGAAAATTTTGTTTGAAAAAAAGCGACACTACTTTTGAGACAACCTAATATATTGAAGAGTTATCATTGCCTTCAGCAAGGTAGTTTTAGAGGTTGAAATGCGCAAGGGGATAACTGACCAGGAGTCGAAATTGATCAAAGACAAAAGAAACAAACAGTTACAGTGCGGTGCAAAATCATAGGACACCCCCACACCCAAATATGAATATCTCGGCTTCTAGAAAACATCGTTCATCGAAACCTATAGAATCAGAATCGCCTTCATAAAAAACCTATACTCACAAGTTACCAGTTATCCGATTAGTTTTCCGTATTTTTAGACAATTTTTTTAATTTTGGAGCCGTTGCAAAATCATAGGACACCCCTCAGAATTCTCCTTACTGTTGAATTTTTTATCCAACCAGCAACGATAGTAGCACTTATTTGGTGTATGGCAACTCTATCAGAATTACGTTTTGAGTTGGTCTCCTCCGCTCCACGAGTGAAATTATACGCGCCTGATGGTTCTAACACGAGCATCGCAGCCATTTTTGAGAGCTCATGGCAGACGATAGCTTGATCCTCCAGTTTCTTACTACGGAATAGAAATAAGAGAGCACCAGGATAACAGAGAAGTTCCCTAAAAGGATTAGCTATAACCTCGAAGATTACATCGAACAAAATCACCATGCACGCTCAACCTGTGTCAGCTCTACGACAGAAAGCGGATAAAACCGAAATGAAATCATCTAGCAAAATCATTGATATGGACAACTAGCGTAGGGTCCTGCGAAGCGTGCTGCCATGCTCGTTAGGCGTTCTGACTGAAACCAGAGAAGAGAAATTCAACGAAAGACTAGGCCAAAGCCGGGCTTTGTTGAATAAGTTCCCATTAGGTGTAATAAGTTGTTCCCCTCAGACTGCTTTTCTTTGGTGACAAGAAGTTTGCCATTGATGCTTCAGATGACGCTGTTCACTAGTGGAAGAATATAAGGCCAGATTCGACGATATTCTTTCAACGAAATTTTCGTGGTAGTTTCTAAAGATGTGATCATGCGTAACCTCATCCTGAGTCTCAAACCTGAAGCTTTTCGCCACTAAGATGGGTCTACTAGTGCGCCAGAAGAGCGCAGAAAACCATCTGCCGTCTTCTCCTTTAAAGATTTCGCGTTAACGACTACCCCATTGACAAGAAACACACCTTCCCTGCGAAAGCTCCGATGAGTCAGTGGTTAGAAACATACCTAATGACTTTAATAGAATGGCAAGCGAGGACTACTACGAAGTTTTTCGAGACTCACTTGGAGAACCTTTGTAGCAATGGCTGCGCAAATACTCACAAGATCAACACAATTTCAAAGTTGAAGCAACGGATTCCCCACTGATGAGCACCAGTTTGATTTAAATATGTATAAAAATTTGCGGCAGCTAGAGTAGCTTTCTTTTCGGAACTGTTTCAGCGGTTTAGCTTCTGCCATCATCTTACGATCGAAAAAAAGAATTAATGACAATCCGAAATATGCCAGGCAAAACAAAAAAAGGTGGGAATTGTTGAGTTTACGCCACACATTTCCTTTTCCCCTTTAGAGAGCTTCTTTAAGTGTGAACTTTTATAAATTCTGTAAATGAAGGTGTCATTATTGTTAGACGAGAGCACAGAAGCGTACAATAGTAACACGGCAAGCAGTATCGGAAATAAGTTAAGTGTGCGCCGAAATTAAGCGTTGTGGTTATTCTGGCGCCACACTCCACGGCAACTGGTTGAACCTATTTGAGCGCTTGACCGCTCTCGTTTAGGATCTTATCTCAATAAACAACATCCGCCGCCACGGCTCACTGCCCTAGCCGCAACTATCTGCGACTCGTCCATATCACGGCGGTGTGACTACTTAGAAAGAGAGCGCAGGCAAGAGCAAAAGATTGAGCAATTGAACGGCTCAGACTCATGCCGTCAATTCGACTCGCAGAGCCGCGCCGTTTACTCTGCCACTGAGCCCTGATGAATTTATCCGGAGACCAAGCAGCACTAAAAGATTAATCTTCATACCAGCGGTGTCATTTCATGTGTTTCTGGAGTTCTATAGTGAAGATTGAGTACATAAACCGTGAATACAGTAGATGCAGTAACCACTATCATACAGCATGTGAAGAATATTCCTGAAACAATGTGTATAATAGTCTACCCAGTCTGAATAATCCCAATAGAGTTTCGATGCCGTTTGACATAAAACGAAATGGATCACATAGTGTGTGTAGCTCGTCTTCACCTCCTTTTGCATAACGTATATTATACGCAAGTCATTGCACAGGGGTAGCCAAAAAAGAGACACTTCACTCCACATTTCAGCCGGCATTAATTAGTTAGTAGTTTCAAACCGACTGCTCCCAACTTATCATTAAAGAGCACATCCCAATCTATCAATAAACGTTATAATAGCTTTCTGCACCAAGGACATCACAAGAATTTGCCATGGGAACCTTGTGCACGCAGCTCAACTGGTCCTTGACGGATCATGGACCATTACGACGTTATCTGAAATGCTGGTCACAAGGGTCCTTGCATATTCAGAGCTACTTTCCCAGGAAAGCATCTATCAGTGAACTGATCAGAAAATTTCGTAGCAGCTTCAGGCTGGAACGATTACGGTAGGCCTTCTTGAGCTCGACGGTGATGGAAGATGACGTCATATTTTGAGGGTGAGGGCAGTGGTGGTGAGCCTGCTTCTGCTTATAGCGAGAGATTACGATAAAGTGTGTGTGCAGCGTGGAAGTACATGCACCAGTGGAAGCAGTAGTCAGGGGCCGAAGGAAGCGAAATGTTGCGTTTTTGTGGCCAAAGGTGCGCTAGCTGCAGCGTACTGGGCTTGCCATTCCTTTCTGAGCTCCGCCACGGCCTGTGCTCCGCCCCCAGCAGCAGCGTCCTTCGATTATCATTTTGATGAGGTATTCCGCTGTGAGTGCGTATCCTATAACTTTCCCATGGAACGCGTTACCAATCAAAGCATGGCCTTTGCTGGTATGATGGTGGCTATCGGTTTAACATGTGTAAAAGACCTCTTAATCGGTTGCTAGCTCATCC